TCTGTGTGTGACGGGGTAGAGCCATAACCTCCCCATCGGCCCTGCCCTGAGTGTGAGAGTGGCGGCGCCCTAACCCCCTGATCTGCCCTGCTCTGTGTGTGACAGGGGGTGGGGCCCCAACTCCCCTACCGGCCCTACTCTGTGAGTGACAGGGGGGAGCTCCTCAACCCCCTGATCGGCCCTGCTCTGTGCGTGACAGGGGGGAGCTCCCCAACCCCCTGATGGGCCCTGCTCTATGCGTGACAGGGGGGAGCTCCCCAACCCCCTGATTGGCCCTGCTCTGTGCATGACAGGGGGTGGCGCCGCAACCTGCCCATTGACCCTGCCTTGAGTGTGACAGGGGGCGGTGCCCCAATCCCTCAATCGGCCCTACCCTGAGCGTGACTGAAGGTGGCATCGCAACCTCCCAATCCGCCCTGCTCTGTGCATAACAGGGGGCGGCGCCCCAACTCCCCAATCGGCCCTGCTCCGAGCCCGACCAGGGGCTGCACCTAGGGATTGGGCCTGCCCTCTGCCACCCGGGAGCAGGCCTAAGCCAGCAGGTCGTTATCTCCTGAGGGGTCCCAGACTGCGAGAGGGCACAGGCCGGGCTGAGGGGCCCCCCCTTCCCGCTGAGTGCACAAATTTTTGTGCACCGGGCCTCTAGTCTATATATATAAAAGGCTAATATGCAAAGTGTCCTCTTGGAAGTTTGACCAGGAGTTCAATTGCTCACTATGACATGCGCTGACCACCAGGAGACAGCGCGGAATGAAGGAAGGCCCTGGCCGGCAGTTGGAAGGCCGATTGACCCTGATCGACCCTGATCGCTGGCCAGGCCTAGGGACCCTACCTGTGCATAAATTTTGTGCACTGGGCCTCTAGTTTAAAATTTTAAAAAATGAGCCCTAACTGTTTTGGCTCAGTGGATAGAGTGTCGGCCTGGGGAATGAAAGGTCCCAGGTTCGATTCTGGTCAAAGGGCATGTACCTTGGTTGTGGGCACATCCCCAGTAGGGGGTGGGCAGGAGGCAGCTGATCGATGTTTCTCTCTCATCGATGTTTCTAACTCTCTATGCCTCTCCCTTCCTTTCTGTAAAAAACAAAACAAAAATTAAACAAAACAAAAAAACTTCTTAAAAAAAAAAAATGAGGAAACAGGTTCAACCAGGTGCCCTGCTCAGAGCCACATGGTTTTTAATGGACAGACCCACAAGAAATCATGATCTTCTGAAGTGAGCCTAGTAGTGCCAAGCTGCATCACTGACTGCTATTGTACTCTCCCTGCCTTATGCTATACTTTTCAGTGGGGTAGAGAAAATGGTCCTTTTTTGGGGTGACATGTGTCAGCCCCTGCTCAAGAAATTAATAGTGGTGAAATCTTGGTAATTCCACCTGGCTTTCAAAGTCTTTTGCAATCTGCCCTTCTTTTATTTAGTCCATTTTATTCCCCATCACTCCCATTTTGTACTCTCTCCTCTTCTCAGGCTGGTGTTCCTATTGTTGCTACCCATTACATTAATTTCCAGCTCCACCTTTCTGTTCTCTACTAATCAAGTTGTGCACATTCTTCAATGCCCAACTTAAGCATTTCTCATCTACTCCAGTCCACAGTGACAGTAACATTTGATCCCCTCACAGCCCTGCTCTAAAGCCTTCAATGATAACCTTTTATCTGCTAAACAAAGCCCATGCTTCTTAGCTGGGTACTCCCGCCAGCCATTCAGTCACAAATACATACTGAGAGTGATTTATGCGCTCTCTAGGTGCTGGGAGACCTGTAAAGAACCAGGTCCCTGCCAGTGCAGTAAACAAACTAGACATTAAATCATTACAAATAATTAATTATTAGTGTGAATCAAGTGATTACAAGGCCCTGTACAATCTGGTCTCAACCTGTTTTTCAGAGTTCTTTCTCATCCTTTTATCCCATCCAGATGGGCTTACTCAAGCTTTCCCACCTCAGTGGCTGTGCCCATATCCTCCTTCCTTTCCTGAACACAGGTTCTTCCTGGCTCCACCCCATACCCATCCAGGACCAGCTTTGGTTCTGCCTCTCCCATGAAACCCTGCTAGGCAAACTTAGCTGGAAGGATCTTCCCTCATTTGAATTCCTATCACTTACCCATTCAACAAATATTTACAGAATGACTTCTTGGAATGTTTGATGAATGACTCTTCAGGAGGTGCTAAACACATGCTATGGTATTACATACTTAAATTATATAGGGAGTTAGAGGGATCTGGAATATTTTCCCCTTCTCCTCTGGGTGGGGGAGAAGTGAAGAGTCACAAAGCGATATAGTAGCACATACAAAAAATTACTGAGAAGCAAAATGACAAAAATTGTCCAATGACTCATAATCCTGCTACTTGAAAGACCCACCACGGATGGTTTTCTCTGTATCTTTCTAGTGGTTTTCTTTTTCTGTGTCTCTCTGTGTATGTCTATGCCATTTTCCTCCAAAATAAATTTTTCTCAAGAAAACCTTTTTTTCCTTATGGTCTTTTTAAAAACACAAAGGACCTCTCTATCTCCATTATCCTGCTCTCTTTTGCTTGGGGGTCAGATAGTTTATCTTAAACAAAACCTAGAGAATTGACTCCAAGACTCCTCCATATCTTTTCCAGTTCACTGATCCTATGTACAAGAAGAATCTGAACATTGTTTTAGGGCATCTACTCAGAAGTCCTTTCTCAAGACCTCCTCTGGACGCTCTTCAGGGCAGCACTCAAATATCTCTTCTTCAAGACCTTGGTTGTGTGGGTATACTGTGTAGCCATATGCGTGTGTAAACCACAGGATGCTGGGCCTACAAGAACACAGGAGATCTTCCAGTCCACCCCCTCACTTTATGGATGAACACACTGCACTGCAATGTTAAGTACTTCCCCAAGATCATGCAGTTGCTGCTTATCTTTCCCAATTACCCCACTGTCTCCAGTTTGTCCAGCAATGAACCCCAAACTAACATTAAACAAGAAATACCCAGTGAAGCACTAACTCTTGCTAAATAAATTGTATCTATTCTTACCACTAAAGGGGAAAAAGTAAGGCAGTTTGGTAAAGACTGGGCTAGATCTTTCAGCATTTGGTTGTTTTGCAACGCCAGAAAACCTCATTGGAAATTTTCATTGCTCTGATGGGATTAAAGCCCAAAAGAAATAGTAGGAACCACCTATCTCAGTGGTCGGCAAACTCATTAGTCAACAGAGCCAAACGTCAACAGTACAACGATTGCAATTTCTTTTGAGAGCCAAATTTTTTAAACTTAAACTATATAGGTAGGTACATTGTTATTAACTTAATTAGGGTACTCCTAAACTGGCCTTTGCTAAAAACGTCCTCAGTCTGATTGAGGTATGTTCGCTGAGGTCGACCCCTTCCAACTCTCCCATCCACACTCGTCTTGTATACTTGTTTTGTGTATCTCCTTTCGTTCATCCTCTCTATAAGTCCAAACCATCTCAACATACCTTTCTCAATCCTCAACACTACATCTTCTTTCACTCCACAACGTTCCCTGTACGCGCATACGGCCCGCACGTGGTATTTTGTGGAAGAGCCATCCTCAAGGGGCCAAAGAGCCGCATGTGGCTCGCGAGCTGCGGTTTGCATACCACTGACCTATCTCATTCGTTCTTAATGCTTGAGAAACGGAGGATAACAAAAGGATGTAGAAAATGGCCAGCCCTTGATCATGAACTGCAGCATCATCTTCTATATATTTCTCCTTCTTCCTGTTCTTCCTCCTCCTCCTCCTCCTCCTCCTCCTCCTCCTCCTCCTCCTCCTCCTCCTCCTTCTCCTCTTCCTTCTCCTTTCAGAGAGGAAGGGAGAGAGAGATAGAAACATCAATGGTGACAGAGAGGCATTGATTAACTGCCTTCTGCATGCCCCACACTGGGAATCCAGCCGGCAACCTGAGCATGTGCCCTGATCAGGAATCGAACTGTGTCCTCCTGGTTCATCGGTCAAGGCTCAACCACTGAGCCACGCCGGCTGGGCTCTACTTTAGTTCTTAACCTAATTTTTATATATGTCACCGTGACCAGAGGTGCAGTTCACCCAGGTGAAAGAAATGCACGACTGTAAGAAAGTTGTCTCTTCAGAGACCAAGCCCACTTCGCCACAGTTTTTCCAGCCTCAGTTGGAAGCCCCTGTAACGTGGTCTCTCTTTCTGAATTCTAAAAACCACTGTATTGGAATCTCTTCTTACAGGAACCCAGGAAAAGGAAAGCTGTGTGCACTCTTTGTAAAGGCGGGCACTGTCGTAGTAGGAGTTTTTCTAAAGACCATTTCAATGGGCCTGCAGGCCTTAAATAGGAAATGAGAGGTGATGGAGGTGGGGTGGAGCCAATCCAACTGGTTGGACCACGGCAAAGGCAGATCCAAGAGGGGAGAATCCAAAATGTCAGAGGTAGATGGAGGGGAAAACGCTCTCCCAGGGGGCGCAACCCAGCTCCCTTCTCCTCTGCTCATTTTCAAAAGCTCCCTGTAGGAGGAGGAACCCCGGTACTGCCCAACAGAACCCCTACCCACCCACCGCAAACAAAGGGAAGGGCCCCCTCCAGCCTTTTTGCCCTGAATGAAGTCTGGGCTTTACTTTTTAGGATCCACCCATCCCTCCCCACAGACCCAATGAGGCCGCGGCCTCCCCAGCCCGGAGGTGTGGCACTCTCCCAGGAAATGGACAGGTACCTCGGGCCAATGGTTGGAGCTGCGGCGGGCCAATGGGAGAGAGAACGGCGTGACCTGGGGTTTGAGAATGTGGGAGCCCGCAAAAGAGGGCGGGAACGAGGGGGCCTTTGACCGGGGCGCCGGGGGCGGAGGGAGGCGGGCCGGGTCCTTGGCGGGGTGCTCCAACCGCGGCGGGGGGAACCTGCGGGCCGGTCGGCAGCATCCAATAGGAAGGCGGGTTGGCGCAGGGGCGGGCCGGGTGCCGGGCAGCCCGCCCCCTCGGGTCCGCAGGGCTGGGGCGGAGCCAGGCCGCGTCAGGTGGTCCCGGGCGGGCTGGCGGGGCTGGGGCGGGGCGCGGCGCCGGGAGGGGAGCGGCCGCAGGCGGCGGCGGCGGGCACCGGCTGAGTGAGCAGGTAGCGCGGCGGAGGTGGCCGGGCCGCCCCCAGGGGGCGAGCGCACAGGCGGGGGCCCCTGTCCGCCGCGCCCCCAGGCTGCGGTGAGCACTCGAGCTCCTGGCACTCGCCGCGCCAGCAGCAAGCAGCCAGCTCTCTCCGCCCCGCCAGCCCGGGCCCTACCTGCGGCCACTGTCGGGGGAGGGGGTCCCCCAGCTCTGCGGAGCCGCATGAACAATAGGCGGCGGCGGCTCCTGCGGGTGGCGGCGGCCCCGCACCCTATGGATCGGCCGCTCCATGGAGCCCTCCAGAGCGCTTCTCGGCTGCCTGGCGAGCGCCGCCGCTGCAGCCCCGCCGGGGGAGGATGGAGCGGGGGCCGGGGCCGAGGAGGAGGAGGAAGAGGAGGAGGAGGCGGCGGCGGCCCCCGGGGAGCTGGGCTCCGACGCGCCGCTGCCCTACTGGACCGCCGTGTTCGAGTACGAGGCGGCGGGCGAGGACGAACTGACCCTGCGGCTGGGCGACGTGGTGGAGGTGCTGTCCAAGGACTCGCAGGTGTCCGGCGACGAGGGCTGGTGGACCGGGCAGCTGAACCAGCGGGTGGGCATCTTCCCCAGCAACTACGTGACCCCGCGCAGCGCCTTCTCCAGCCGCTGCCAGCCCGGCGGCGAGGACCCCAGTTGCTACCCGCCCATTCAGTGTAAGGCGAAGGCAGGGCCCGGGACCCCGGCGGGGAGGGCGGGAGAGGGGGGGCGTTGGAGCCTGGGGGTGATCGCGGAGAGACGGGAGCCCCCCTCGAGGGTTACGTTAGGTGTGGGGGGGATGGTTGAGTGTGGGGGGTGGCTGACCTGGGGCTGGGTGTGGGCGCGCGCGCTCGGGCCGCAGGGCTTTGGTGGGTGCTGTGTGTACCATGGAGACGCCGCAGGCCTTGCCTGGAACCTCCGGCGTTTGGGCTTCTCAGCCTTCATCTGACCACCTCAGCAGCAACCCCTGATTGCACTTCCTGAAGCCTCAGCATGAGAATCTCCCCATTTCCCACTCCCCCCCCGCCTCCCTCCCCCCAATCTCTCTCTCCGTACCCCCCTTCAATCCCCGCTCCCCTCAAAAAATATCTGGAAGGATTTCAGGCAAGCTAGCTGGTGGTTTCTGTCGTAACCCTAGTCCCCATGTCTAAGACTTCCCGGCCCCTGGTATCCTCTGTCCCCGCCCCTTAAAGGCATTTGCTTTGAAGGAGTTGGGGGTTGTCTCCCGCAGGGCTGGGCTGGCTCACACGTCCCGGAAGCCTGTGTGAACTCAGGGCTGAAGTGTCTTTGAAATGTCGTGTTGATTTCTTGGATGCTAATCTTGTAACTCAGAAGTTGTACCTTCAGGAGTCTCACTGAATACTAATGTGCTGAGAAGGGTGTGTGTTGTGTGGATGGGCAGGTGATGGGCGGGGAAATGATGAGAGAGGCAAAAGTAAGTCATTCTCCCATGAGAGATCAGGAGGTCAGGGCACAGTGGCTAAATCCCAGTCCCTTGACACCTAGGATGCTAAGACAATACATTTTCTTCTTTCTTCTCATCCTAGATCCTTGCCTATATTTGGTATTTGCTAAATCTCAGGGGGACCATGCCCATAGGTCCCTCCCAGGCCCTTCCTTCCTTCCAGTGTCCTGGTTTTTACCAGTTTCCCAGGAGTCCCCTGTTCCACACCCTGTAATGAAATTTCCTTTGTTTTTTTGCAAAGGACTTAAGCTGCCATGAAAATCCCTCAATCAATGATGCTAGGTGGTTTTAGTAGAAAGATGTTACACTATATTTGTATTTGAGGGATTCCATAATTTCCTTCCTGTTAAGAAAAATATTGTTGATGCATATTGAGCATTCCTCATTCCATATTTTGTACACTTTGCATCATAGCGCTGATTTTTAAAAAATCATCACCAATCTCCAACTTTAAACATTTTTAAATGTTTTAAACAGTTTTAAATGTCATTGGTGACAAGTTATTTTCTGGCCCTGTAACTTATTTTCGCCTGAACAACTGTGTTATTATCTTAAGATATTTGTTAAATACCACCACTTAGTATCAAAGTCATAATCTCTTACCCTGTTTTTCTCCTTTCTCTTTTTGTATCGGTGGTTTGACTATCAATTGATGTTCAAATCTTTAGTTACCTTTGTTTCCCTCTCCCTCTCATTCAATAAAAAACTTCCTGTTTCTGCATCTGATAGTACTTAGTGGCAACAAAGTACTTTATGCTGTTTCTAGGCATTATATCTTTTTGGCACTAGTATTGGGAAGATGAAGGCTAGTGTCTGAAATAGTGTTGAAGATGAACTTGGTCACACATTGGGATAAATATTGGAAGAATGGTCTGGTGTATTAGAAAACTGTGGTTTTAAACGTAAGTCAGATTTCGAGGTTCTTTGTGGGTAAAGTTTGTGATTTTTTTTTTTCCAGCAACAGCTAATTATGTAAGCTGTGTTCTATACTTTTCTTTAAGTTTGGTCAGAGCCGAAGGGTTGTGTGAGGCTTATGAGCTGGAACACAGTTTCTTTACTGTCTTGTGCTCCACGCTGTCAGAGCAGTCAGGAGTGAATGAGACTTAGGCTGGAAGCGCCCATCCCCAGAGAGCCAGACATGTCCACTGGGCCACTGTAGAAACTCCTTCTTCGTTAGGTGCCCAGGACTTAATCTTATTGTAACAAAAGTAACCTTGCATAGACTAGATTCTTATATCTAGAACCCAGATGGTGAGAAAGTAGGCAGTCCCTTGTGCTTATTGAAAGAATTGACTTGAAGAACATGGTATTTGAAAGGTCCTGATAAGTTATTTTATTTAGCGTCATCAGGAGTTCTGATCTTGCCTGGAATTAATTCTTTTTTTAAAAAAATATATTTTATTGATTTTTTATAGAGAGGAAGGGAGGGGGATAGAGAGTTACAAACATCGATCAGCTGCCTCCTGCACACCCCCCACCGGGGATGTGCCCGCAACCAAGGCACATGCCCTTGACCGGAATCGAACCCGGGACCCTTCAGTCTGCAGGCCTACGCTCTATCCACTGAGCCAAACTGGTTAGGGCTGGAATTAATTCTTGATAATTCAGAAAATGTAATTCCAGTCACAAAGCAATTAGAGGGCCCCGTGGAGAACGGCTACTGTGTTAAATATCCAGGGATAAGGAAACGATAAAGAGGTGCTTGTACGTCACACATGAGGGAGATTGGTGATGTAAATAATTTCACTACAGCGCTTTGGTAAAGATGAACAGGGCAAGTTGCTGACAGGTGTGCTTCCTACCTGTAGGCTAATGTCCACCAGTTCAGGTAGTGTCACTCAGAAATAAAAGGTGATTGACAACTTTTCTCCAAAGATTTGGAATGAAGTTGAGCCACTGACAACTTTTCCCTGTTACCCTTTTGAACTTCCCACCTGGGGCATGGATTGTGATGTTAGACTGCGAATAGAAGACACTAATAATGACCTGTTTTCGTTTTAAATATTGCTTCAGAGGGAAAATTCTGTTTCAAACTTTACTCAAAACAAAAGAGGTAAAAAAAAAAAAAGGTGGAAATTACTAAATCTTATGACAAAGAAAAATGTAATAGTTCTTCTATCCCCGCCAATGTAGATATTAGCGTATAGCTCGTCATGGAACTGAGAAATAAAAATCACCAAGGAGGTCTCTCATCTTCCTTATTTTAGTAAAAGATGAAAAGATGTAGTTCCATATGTTTTATCTTGGGAGATATGTAGGCATTTAAAAACGTTTCTCCTACAGGAGGTTGTGTCTGTTTTCAAGTAGGGCATAAATTAAGGTTCTGTCTGACTAATTTACTTTATTTTTCTTATAAGGATGCATTTTCATATGTACTTAAGATTTTTAAATGAGTGAGATACGTACCATTCACTTGCCAAAACCCACCAGAATGTGCCTATACATTTCATTTTCAAGGATACAATTGAAAGCGAAGAACATCTTGACTCCAAAAATGAAAGAAATAAGGTTTTGTTCCTGGTATTCCTGGATATGTCCTTCCAAAGAAACTAAAAAATGTGTTGGGTGCGACTTGACCTGATTCTTACTTAAAACCAGGTCTTGACTGGAGCAGAGAATGGAAGGAGAGCCCCACATTCTCTCAGCGCAACTGAAGGTCTAGTTCAGTGGTTCTCAACCTTCCTAATGCCGAGACCCTTTAATACAGTTCCTCATGTTATTATTTTCGTTGCTACTTCATAACTGTAATTTTGCTACTGTTATGAATTGTAATGTAAATATCTGATATGCAGGATGTATTTTCATTGTTATAAATTGAACATAATTAAAGCATAGTGATTCATCACAAAAACAATATGTAATTATATATGTGTTTTCCGATGTAGGTGACCCCTGTGAAAGGGTCGTTCGACCCCCCCAAAGGGGTCGCGACCTACAGGTTGAAAACCGCTGGTCTAGTTCTTACTCCAAGAAACTTCTTACTTCCAAGGGAAGGGAAAAGAAGTACCTTCCTCCCTTGCCCCCATCCCCCTCTGTTCTTTCTTCTATCTGCTTGTAAGCTGTGTTCTATACTTTTCTTTAAGTTTGGTCGTAATATTTTCTTAACTAAATAGCAAGAACCTGACAGTTTATGTCCTACCCAGAGCAAGACTATTTATTGCTTGGCCTTCCCCACAGAGGTTTTCTGTCTTCTGCAAAACATCACCCGTGGAGCTGTCCTTTCAGCACCCTAGTTCAGAATCACATCTTTAAAACCCTCATACATTTAAATAAATATTTAACACCTCCTGTGTGTTCACAACCATGCTTCAGTCCCAGGGAAGAAGGCAGGTAGAAGAGAAAATACAACAGTTCATTCCCTTAAGGAGAATTCAGATACTCCGCTAAAGAAATAAGATGTGTAAACACAAATTTGTTAAATAGGCCCATATCTTTTCATCAGCATAAAAACTGGTAGAAAACAATGAACTTTCCTTCCCTCCATGACCCAGGAGACTCCTAACATAACTTATATGTTTCTCCAAAAGGGTTTCTAATCTCTCTTTAACATAGGCATCCCCCCCCCCCCCATTCATATAGATGAGATAAGGCAAACATTAGTAATGCCAGGTTTTATTTTAGGACCTAGAAACACTCAAGCTATTTTAAGTAGAAAGTGCTCTAGCACAGGAAGTTAGGTGCTTACAGAATGATTGGGACGGTAGGGAGAAGGGACTCTCAGGTGGACCTGTCGGAAAAACTCCAAGAACATTGCAGACCCGGCCCACCAGGTAGGCTGCTACTTCTCTCAGTGGGAAGACACAGAATCAGGAGCTGTCATTGAAGCGGTGGAGTTCAAGAACGCCTGGTTGTTATTGCAGTCCAGGATTAGGCAACCACTTGGCCTTGCAACATGCCTCTCCTCATCCACAGAGTGAATGATTGGACACTGACTCGCTGTTGCAGAAAAACGCCACCTCTCCACAGCCTTGCTTGCCAGGAGACGCAGCAAGAAGACGGCCTCCATTTCATTTCTGCCTTCTAAATCTTCTGCATCTAACGCAGAACCTGATCTGCATCCAGAACTCTAGCTGTCAGGGGGTCTGGGAAATGTAGTTTTCAGCTGTCTGGCTTTTGTAGAACTGAGAGGCCTGCTGGAGGGATTTTAGAATGGATGCTGATTGCTAGTCTGCAGGACCTGCCGCACCGTATATTCTTTGGGGAGAGCGCCCGATGAGGTGATAAGCCTGAACACTTGGAACATTTGGAGTCAAGATGGGCCATACTTTTTGTATACCAAAAAACAGCTAACTTTTCCTAAGAGTTTCCTTTGTGCAGACTGCCACTTGCATTACAAAATACAAGTGAATATCAGCCCCAGATGGAATAGAAACACTATAATTAAGCAAGAACAGAGTTTGGAGCACCACCAGCATCTGAGTGGAGAATGGTGGCATCATGGGGCTGCCTGTGGAAGGAAGCAGTGGGCAGTTCCTCTTTTGGTCTTGCCAAAAGTTCAGAAATACATTTTTGTTTTCTTAGTTTTTTAGCAAAGTTTGTGTGTGTGTGTGTGTGTGTGTGTGTGTCTGTCTGTCTGTTGGGGTTTTTTTTTTTTTTTTTTAGCCAAATTACTAAGCTGAGAGATGAGTATGAATAATCCAGGTAAAGATGATGAGACTGAGAAGATAGAACAGGTTTTCATGAAAAAAAACAAAAACACATACAATAGCTCTTTGCTCATATAGCAGCACCATGTCCAGCCCAAGATTTGTGTGCCAGTTACAAAGCATAAGGCCGCAAAGCATAAGTTAATCACATTTCCTGCCCTTATGCAGTTGACTTTATAATAGGAAGACAGAAAAGCCGAATGAAGAGACAACGCTGCGTTCACGCATCCGGGTAAATGGGTGATTAAATGGTGTTTCTGGAATGTTTTTGATTTGCCTCTCTCTCCCTCCTCTTTCCCAGTGTTAGAGATTGACTTTGCGGAGCTAACCCTGGAAGAGATTATTGGCATCGGGGGCTTTGGGAAGGTCTATCGTGCTTTCTGGATAGGGGATGAGGTCGCCGTGAAAGCAGCTCGCCACGACCCCGATGAGGACATCAGCCAGACCATAGAGAATGTTCGCCAGGAGGCCAAGCTCTTCGCCATGCTGAAGCACCCCAACATCATTGCTCTCAGGGGGGTGTGTCTGAAGGAACCCAACCTCTGCTTGGTCATGGAGTTCGCTCGTGGAGGACCTTTGAACAGAGTGCTATCTGGGAAGAGGATTCCTCCCGACATCCTGGTTAACTGGGCTGTGCAGATTGCCAGAGGGATGAACTACTTACACGATGAGGCGATTGTCCCCATCATCCACCGCGACCTTAAGTCCAGCAACAGTGAGTATGAAGGGATGGGGCTGGAGGGCTTGAGAGCACGTTCAGACTCAGTCCAGGGCATCAGTTGACGTGGATTCCTAAAAGAACCCTAGCGGGCAGTCAAAACTGCTTGCTTAAAACCATTCCATCCTGGAGTTGAGATGGAGGGCGGTGATGAGTGCCAGGAAAATTGGTTTAGGACGAGAAGAATAAGGTGCCTGAGGGGTTGGGACACTTCTGGGCTCCCATTAGCAGGTAAGTTTGGCAATGTGTAATTCTGATGTACCAGGCAAAAAGCAACGACGACATAGATTTACTTTTCCACTTGAGGGAAGTGTGTCTGTAACCACAAAAGGGCTTTTCCTCTTTCGTGGAACATCAGGTAAAGCAAACCTATACCACCTGTTTGCATTTCTGTCTAGACAGCCAGCTTGAGGCACCCACCAGAGAAGGGGCTCTGAGGAAGAGGAGGCATGTGGTGTAAGCTGTGAGGCCCATTCAGGTTCAGTGTCAACTTGGAGAGCAGGACCTGGCTGGTCGGCTTCCAGACCTCCTGATAGCCTAGGGGCAGTGTTAATTAATTGGTATAACTTCCTAGTGTTTAATAGCAGGGAACTGAGAGGCAACTTTATTAACCACCCAGAATCCATAAACTGGATCATAAAGCAAGTGTTAGACATAATAAAATGGTGAGTCGGTAGACACTTGAGTCTCTTTCCTTGGCTGAATCCTCAGGTACTGGGAATATGCTTCTTCTTTGTGGTCATGTGTGTTCTCTGTTGCCTAAACTGTGAGGGAAAGAGGATCCAGGGTGCTAAATGGTCATTGTGAGCACCCTGTCCAGGGAGGAGGGTCTTAGGAGGACTTTGGGGGTGAGGTGGGCCCAGGAACTTCATGCTCTCTGTATCCTTCAGCTTTGAGCCCAGAAAGCCTTCAGGCTTTGTTTTGTTCTGGGCTGTTCTAGAGGTAGCTTACTTTTCTTTTGATGCTTTTGTGAATCTGTTTAAGGTAATGCATTTTAGCCTGGGCCAGTTTGACTTGGTGGATAGAGGGTGGATAGTGTGTCGGCCCTTGTACTGAAAGAAACCCATAATGTTTTCTTTCAGGGAATATAACTATTACATCTGGCATTTCTCGCAGACATTTCCAGAGCATATATGGTTTATATACTTTCCAATTTACATTAAGGAGCCTTTATTTATTTATTTTATTTATTGAAATATATTTTTATTGATTTCAGAGAGAAAGGGAAAGGGAGAGAGAGATAGAAACATCAATGAAGATAAAGAATCATTGCTTGGCTGCCTCCTGCACACACCCAACTGGGGATCGAGCCCGCAACCTGGGCATGTGCCCTTGACCGGAATCGAACCTGGGACCCCTCAGTCCACAGGTTGGTGCTCTATCCACTGAGCCAAACCGACTATTTTTGTTTGTTTGTTTGTTTAAAGTATTACATGTTTCCTTTTTTCCCGATTGACCCCCCTAACCCCCGGTAAATAGCCTTTATTACCCTTACTTACCTCTTCCACCTGCACCCTCTTCCCCTTTAATAATAGAAAATTCATTCTTGTGAGAGTATGAAACATTGGGTATGTATTTTAGATATAATGCATGTGAAGGATTTAAGTTCCATAAAATAAAACCTGATTTCTCTTTTCCTTCTGCCATTATTCTGTCTCTTTACCATATGATTACTCTCATATGGACTTTCAAAATTCTGTTCTTTAAATGTATTAAAAAAATTAAAACTTTTGGTGACCCTTTTTCAAAGTGATTTCTACCTAGAGATTGCTTTGGATGATGGGATAAGAATAAGCAGATGTGTTGGTACAAACAAATGATAAAGAAGCTGAATTTTCTTTATTTTATTTTTTCTTATATCCTTACTAGGGGCCCGGTGCATGAAATTTGTGCAGGGGGGGGGGGTTGTCCCTCAGCCCAGCCTGCACCCTCTCCAATCTGGGACCCCTCGGGGGATGTCTGACTGCCGGTTTAGACCCAATCCTACAGGGATTAGGCCTAAACCAGCAGTCGGACGTCCCTCTCACAATCCAAGACTGCTGGCTCCCAACCGCTTGCTTGCCTGCCTTCCTGATTGCCCCTAACTGCTTCTGCCTGCCAGCCTGATCACCCCTAACCACTCCCCTGCCATCCTGATCGACACCTAACTGCTCCCCTGCCAGCCCGATTGCCCCCAACTGCCCTCTCCTGCCAGCCATCTTGTGGCTGTGGGCGCTGCCATCTTTGAGGATGGGGCAGTCAATTAGCATATTCTCTCCTTATTGGCTGTGAGTGCCGCCATCTTTGAGGGTGGGGCAGTCAATTAGCATACCCCCTCCTTATTGGCTGTGAGTGCCACCATCTTTGTGATGGTGTGATGGTCAATTAGCATATTCCCTCTATATTAGATAGGATCATGCTGGGAGAATTAAGCAAAGTGCTTTAACCTTACATAATTGAGCCCATTTAAAAATTTGGGCTAAGATGATGGAATTGTGAAAGTTAATAATTTCTTCTATGAAGTTTTAAATTTGGGTATAATTTCAAGCTGTAAATACAAGGTTTTACCTTATGAGATTTGTGTTTGTAAGTCTAGGTTCTTGCGAAGGAAAAGCTAAATTGTCAAGGTTTTGCTGTGTTTGCAGGAGATGGCAAGAGACCTGAATGTCATTCTATCATCCAGGAGACAAAGCCCTGGTCCTTTCTTTGTCCTTAAGTGAATTTTAGGATTTGTGGAGAGCAGCTACAGTGTTTGGACAGGTTCAAGCCTTGGACTAATGAGAGGGCACAGTCCTCTCGTGGCCACGTGCAAGTCCCAGCTTGGAGGGCAGAGCCCTCCCAGCACAATCATAGCCAGCAGCTAAAGTTGTAAGCTTGACCCTATGGTTCGAACACATGGCCCCACGTGTCTGAGTGATGTGGGCTTGATAGAGTTCAGGTGCATGTAATTGAGTAGGATCAAAACCCACGAGAATGTTGTAAACATCTTGACCACGCCCTTACTTTGCCTCGTGGAATCTGGCTATGAAATAAAGACACGGCTTGTAGTCCGTGGCACTGTCGCTAGCTCTCCATCAGAGAGGAGAGTGTCCCACCCATACTCAGCTTCATTCTCTTGTCTGTCTTTTCTCCATCCTTCACCGCCCCCTCTCAGGGTCACTGAACCTGGCTGATCTGGCACGGCACATAAGGCGCCCAGTGTGGGGCTGAGTATGCCATGGCTGTGCTGGCCTCCCACAAGGATTGCCAAGGTGGGACCTTCAGTGCAGTGTATTGTGGCAGGAGATAATTAATGTCCAGAAGTGAGTAAGGTTCATTGTTCTGCATGGTTGGTGTTGATGTTGATGCCCCCATAAATCTCACAGGTGAGGTGGGGCACCTCCTTGGCATTTACCTCCTTGGCTGTTTGCCTGGGATTGTATACAGCATATCCAACAGGAGGCTTCAGGACACTGTTCTTACTTCATTGCTGTGTGTACATGACTTGGAAATCGTTTTTAAAATGTTATGCCACTTCTTTGTCTTCAGTTGAAGAGTCACAACTTCTTTGTACTTTGCAGACCTGGGGATATTGACCTGTCTTCCTTGGTTTTCATTAGGGGTTCCAGAGAGTTAGATTTGGGTCACTGTCATGTGAGGGCAGAATTCTGCAAATTATATGTATTAGTTGACTTTGAACCTCTAGAGAAAAGAATATGCATATATTGAGAATGTCCTTGTTGGGGAAAAAAGAAAGTAATTGATCATAAACATCTATTACAAAAGGTTCAGCAAAAAGTGATTTTTTAAAATATATTTTTATTGATTTCAGAGAGAGGAAGGGAAATGGAGAAAGATAGAAACATCAGTGGTCAGAGAGAATGATCGATGGGCTGCTCCCTGCATGCTCCCAACTGGAGATCAAGCCTGCAACAGGGGCACGTGCCCCGACCAGGAATCAAACAGTGACCTCCTGGCTCATGGGTCAACTCTCAACCACTGAACCACACCAGCTGGGCAAAAAAGTGATTTATTAAAATGTTATATCATCCTGATCACCTACTTTGAAAAGTATAAGCTGTTTAGTGGCGGTGAAATGTGAATAGCATATAGCATCCTATTTTTTTTTTTAAATATATTTTATTGATTTTTTACAGAGAGGAAGGGAAAGGGATAGAAAGTCAGAAACATCGATGAGAGAGAAACATTGATCAGCTGCCTCCTGCACACTCCCCACTGGGGATGTGCCCACAACCAAGGTACATGCCTTTGACTGGAATCAAACCCGGGACCCTTGAGTCCACAGACCGACACTCTATCCACTGAGCCAAACTGGTCAGGGCAGCATCCTATGTTGATATATAATCTTCAGTAAGCTTAGGCTTGACTGTACATAACCTAAAAAGAACAAAACAAGGTAACATTAGCCAAAACAAGGTATGCCTTCATTTGTCTTTGAAAGGAAGTCTGGGTGGTTTTAGGGCATCTGCACAGTGTCCTCAGGGACCCAGGCTCCTATTTTTCACTCCATTATCCCAGCACATGGCTAGTATCCTCAGGGGTCGCCTTATAGTTCAGGATGCTATTATTTGGCCTAAGTCACAAGCCTGGAGGAGGAGGAAAGCAGAAGCACAGAAGTTGTCTCCCATGGATCTCTCAGAAGTCCAGCATAACACATCTGCTTGCATTATTTGGTCAGAATGAAATCACATAGCCATGGCTAGTACAGGAGAGGCTGGGAGATGGAGGACTTTGTTTTGGGTGCAGTGGGTGCAGCTAATAATCCGGGTGTATCACCAAGGAACAGGGAGAGCATGCTGGTGGAGAGCAGCTGGCAGTCTTACCATGGAATCTCAATGTGGGACATACATTGGGAAGAACTGTTATCTCAGATACTTAGCATCATACAGCCAAACAAGGCTAGACAGGACCTGGGCTGTGTGGCTCAGACCCCTGATTTAGCTAATGGTTTATATTACTTTACCACATTGCATCGTTAACTTAAACATCACTTCTTGAAACTGCTTGTAAAAGTGCTG